GTGTGCCATAGCCAAGCCACATATGGCTCTCAGTTGTGTGCTATCATCTGGGCCATATACCTAAAAAAAATGCTATCTGGGTGAATTTTAAGATTAATTTTTTTAAATATAAACTTTCTAACACGTTGTATGGATTTAACACTTGTGGACTGGATATATCACGCCATGATCCTCACACGTGTAACCTGACACTGATGGGGGGTGGTGTGTGTGTGTGTGTGTGTGTGTGTGTGTGTGTGTGTGTGTGTATGTGAGACCCTTACAGTCTACGGTGTGACCACAAGAGAGCGTGAGCTCTTGCTATTTATCCAGGAGCAGCGCCGCTGCGAGCTCTGTGTGCCTCAAGTTTACTCCCTTGAGCTCTTCCCGAGCATTTACACGCGTGTAGCCAGACAAAGGGAGCGGATGTGTGTTTTTTGTCCATGAGGAAAATGTGGATGAGGTCAGAGCGATCTGGGAAGTAAAGAGGCTTGTGTTTGGAGAGAGATGTATCAGCCGCGCTCGCATCTGTCGCACACTTGATCTGATCACACAAGAGAAGAAGAGGTGCTCTGGAGCTGCTTACCTGTGCGTGAACACACCGTGGACACACACACGGACAGACGGAGGCATGTGCTGTGTTACCGTAGCCTCATGGGGTTTATGAAGAAATAACGGCTTCACGGACAGCTGCTGTAGGCCTCTCCGCTAAACTCAGCCTCACTGGACACGGTCTCTCACCCACCAGGAGAAATGGGTCTAATTTTCGCCAAACTATGGAGTTTCTTTTGTAATCAAGGTAAGAGCTTGTGTTCTGGCTGTTTGGTAGTGAGTGTTTTTGACTCTTGTCCGCCTCGGTCTGATATCCAGCGGAGCTGAGCTAACATAGATGCTAGTGAGCTCGTTTAAATCCGCTGCGTCGAGCTAATGTTAACCTATGAAAACCACAGTCTCGCTTTATTTTTTTTATTCTCGCTATATTTAAAACCAGAGCAGATCATGTTTTCACCTCGTAATTGTAACGGTTTGTTAGTCGGTTTGCTGGTCCGTTACCTTCTCCCGGTAGATCTAACACATGAGATGATCGTTTAGTGGTAAAGGTAACAGATGGGTCATTTAAAATGTCTTCTAAATGATCTGCAATCTGAGTATCGTCCACTTCTTGAATTAAGTGATTTCTGGAGATTGTAGGTAGTAACCAAGCCAAGACAAAGGCTTTATATAAAAAAAAAAGTCTGGCTCAGATCCTATCAATTTTTCCTCCAAAAGTACAGCTGTGATGCTATCAGGTACTTTGATAAGCACCATGGCACTGAATGAATACTGAATATACCATGCCACTATGGTGCCCAAAATACTGTTATGTTTGGCAGCTAACTAGGTTTTAAGGCAAGGTGAATGGAGTAAAAAAAAAAAAAGTTAACTAACAAACCACCATACTTCCGCCACTTGATTCATCATTTGATTCATACATTAAGATTTTTTTTGTATTACATGTTTTCTAAAATAATAATTTTCTAATTAAATATACATTTCGGGGCATTATGAATATCCCTTTTTATCACTCCATAAATCAGGAAAAAACTGTGAACAGCTAGAAAAGAAACAATGTATAAAACCGTCTGCAAAATATAGATTGTTACTTTCCACTTGTTTGCTATGGAAGCAAAATAGCCCAACATCTGAAAATTGACCAGTGTATGAAAAAAAACGATGGTTTTGCCTGTTGTGTCTTGCCCTAACGTGAATTTTGCTACCTACAACTGGCCTATGATAAAACTCCAACTATTCTCCAGCTCCTAGCTCTTACATGTGTTCTTGTTTAATTTGTTCGGATCTGATTTGTACTCATAGGGTTTGTTATATAACATATATGTCTTCACTGCTGCTGTGACAGATGTCTCTCATGATGTAGGTCTAGAGGACAGAGGGGCCAGATATCAGCTTCAACTTGTGCAATGACAATAAAAGAAACTGATTTGAATTGAAAATGCTTTTGTGTAGAGAAACAGACGCCATGACCACCTGGCAAACAAAAGCACGAGGAAACTGTTTTCCTCTCCATTGTTTGCTAGTTTCAGCAGTCAGTTCAACCTGTGCCCAGACAAAACTGCAGAGTTTTTAACTTTAGCACACTAGATTGTGTCTGAAAGTTGCTCTTCTAACTGCATTTTAACCTGAATGCATATTTTCTGAATATTTTTCTATAATTGAGAAGTTGAGCATTGACAAAGTGTGCAAACAACAGAATGGTATTTCCTGGTTATTTTTTATTTATTTATTTTTTTTATCAGTTTTCTCCCATTATATTTCTAACCAGATCCAGATTGTTGTAATGTCGGACAGATGATCCTTTAGCACTGGAATGGACATTTTTGATATTGCGTCTTGCGTGCACTTTCAGTCATTTCTGACACCAAACTGTTTGCATTCCTACAAGGTTATACATTTTATTTGTTGTTGAATTATGTTTTTCTTGTGAGTGCTAGATGCATTCATTACAAATGAGCTAGCCAGTCCTCTGGGCTAGTTGCCGAGTAGGTCCAAAAGGAGCTCCCAGGAGAAAGTAGCATAACTCTTTGGTCTACTTTTCTAGACATAGAAGGAATTCTGCCTGTTCAACCCTCTACGCACACCTTGGCAATATAATCGCCATTGGCTAGCACATTTTTTTGGTTTACTCGCCAGACTGATATACTATTTTACACACACACACACGTGCGTTTACTTAGCTATCTAAATGGGGACATTACATAGACTTAGATTGTTTTTATATACAGATAGTTATACACTTTTTAACCTAAACCCACCCCTAACCCTACCCCTCACAGAAAACTTTCTGCGTTTTTACAATTTCAAAAGTAAAAAAAAACTTTGTTTACTTTATTTTTATAACAGTTTTACAAATGAGGACATCCATAAATTGAGGTTTTTGCCGATTTTGTCAGGATTTGCTCACTTTTGGGTACACAGCGCTATCAGTAAAGCGACGGCGAGTCGTGTGCCTTCACACTAATTTACGGTACGTCAAAAACCGGTGCGCTGCGTGCTACATACTGCGCAGCCATTGAGTACATGACATGATCCATTGAGCGTAGCGTTAAATATCGCATGTGATTAATCGTGCAGCCCTATTATTAGCCAATGGCTAATGTTAGATATTATTTAGTCGCCCAGAGTAAGATTTAGTCGCATATGCGAGTGATTTACTCGCAATGTAGAGGGTTGCTGTTGGATTTGTAATCTCATTCTCTTTCCTAATTCCTTGGATTACTGTCCTGAAGAGGACCAGTCACTTCATTACACTGAGTGTTACTCTCTAATACAGAAATGTTCCTGCAGTCATTTACAAAATGGAAATTATTGCAATATATTGTAAATAGTCTGCAGTCTAGTTTAAGAATTTATTAAATGAGTTAAATATAGTGTTAACACCTATTGGTCCTGTAAATCATTACGCAAATCATGTGCATAGCTTTTGTCCTTTAGCTAAAGCTTTGAGCAGTAGCTGTAGTAGTCTTAAATTAGAGCCATGCTAAATTTGTTTTTGAAAAGTTCCACCAAATCTGTGGGTGGCGTTAACTGTAGTCTTGAGAAACCGTGACTCTTTATGGCTTCACTTTGTCCTGTGACATTTTTGCTGGAGGCATACAGAAGTAAAATAGGGGTCAGTCATTGAGGAAGTAATAGCTGTGAAATATTCTGTGTCTTTGTGGAGCTGTTTGAGATGACATGAGTTATCCAGTCCTGCTTCCTGTAGTTCACATTGGAGTTCAAAGGTGGGAAAAAATCCAAACACACTCACTTTTCTCTCTTACATACACACAGGCTGTCAGAATTTCGTCACATTGCTCTGATAAAGGATGGATCACTATTAGTTGATCTAATCGCATCTTCCTCTGTTATGCAAGCGTGCATCTTGTGTGGCAGAGCTGTGCATTTCTATGGGATTGTTGGACCAATTATCTTCCAGTTAATAGAACTGAGAGGCCAACAGAAGCAAACTAGCTCTGAATGAAAGGAAAGAGCACAGCGAGCTAATGAGATGACCCAACGTTAACATTATAGCTGAGGCTTAAAATTGTCTCTGTGTATTTCATGTAAATAATGGATTCCATTATTTTTATGTTTTATTGGCATTCACATATATTCTATCCTTGTTTACTGAGAAGAATTGTTTGCTTTTCATTTGATGTTTGATTGTGTATTATGGGTTTGACCATTCTCATAATCAGTAATATGTATTTTTATTTCTGTTATGTAGAACACAAGGTGATTATTGTGGGGCTGGACAACGCTGGGAAAACCACTATACTTTATCAGTTGTGAGTAATGTATATTTTGTTATCTTTTTATATTTTGTTTGACTTTATTGCTCTTTTTATTTTTATTTATTTTAATTAGTAAAGAGTCTGATTCATACAATTGAATAGAATAGTCTCTTTATTGCCACACACCTGCACACCTATCTAGTTACTGCTTTAGGACATAAGACAATTGCCTGAACATACAATACACACTAAACATTACAATCTATTCATTGTGCAATATCATGCGTGGTATTTATTCAGCAAAGTAAAACAATAGATGGAGACACTGTACTGATGGGTAAAGGAGGTTTCAGTGTGGTAATTAATGTGAAAGACTGCATCAGTGTAGTTTGTTTCATCTGAACCCGTTTTGTTGTGCAGTTTAATGAATGAGGTGGTGCACACGTCTCCTACAATTGGCAGCAATGTGGAGGAAATAGTGGTGAAGAAAACCCACTTTCTGATGTGGGATATTGGTGGTCAGGAGAGTCTCCGCTCCTCTTGGAACACGTACTACTCCAACACTGAGGTAATGCACGTACACACTGCACTGCTGGAGGCTGAACTTGTTTGATAAGGGATGATTGAATTAACAGAAAACTTCATAAAACGTCTCAATTCATGTAGAGGGGACCTTTAGAAATAATGGGATTACATTAATTAAAAAACAAAACAATGAAGTGAAATGGAAGTGTATAAAGAATTTATGAGGGATTGTCTGTGAACTGACACTAATCACAAACAGCCTGTACATTGTAAATATGATTGTTGGAAGAGAGAAAATAAATGTGTAGGTCACCGTTTACACTAAACAAACCGAGGATGGATTTTCTGTTTTGTTTTATGCCTGTATTTGTGTTCACAGAGACCTCATAGATTGGACAGGCAATCCTTGGCGAAAGATCTAATGGGTTGGGAACATGACAGTTGACTTGAATCCGCATCTCCGAAATGAGCATGTTTAAATTTTATTTGTACAGCACTTTTTACAGTACACATTATTCGAATGCCACTTTACAGAAAAAATTAGAAGAGAAAATTATTTTGGTTCGTATGCTGCCATTCCAAAGTTTGGGTTTAATTAAAAAAATTATCTCGCTTTGAAATATCTTATTCTCACTAAGGATGCATTTATTTGATAAAACAGTAAAAACAATCATTTTTGTGAAAAAATTACAATTCAGAATAACCTTTGAAAATAAATATTGAAAATTTTTTGAAATATAATTTACTCCTGTGATTGCAAATCTGAATTGTCAGCAGTCATTACTCCAGTCTTCAGTGTCACATGATCCATCAGAAATCATTTTAATATGCTGATTTGCT